ACATGTTATTGATTTAAGGTGAAAGAATGTAATGTGTAATAAACAATGAATTCCTTTTTTATGCAGTTAATCATGGCATATCACATCATGAATGGATTCGATATGCATGCATTTGAACCGCAGCATTTTTGTTGTTTCTGCTGCAGCCATTGCCTTTTTTGTTCTCTGCCATTTTATTCGTTTAATTGAAAAACGCGATTGAATAAAATTTGCAATGAAAACACAATATAAAGTAAATATTTGCCGCAAGTACATATAATAAAAGCAAAATATGAAAAGAACCCACAAAATCTGAACAGTTTATTTCGAACATTGAAGAATATGAGCAACATTGATGTGGTTCTACATTGTTCGATACGGAATAATGAAGAAAAAGAAGAAGGAAAAGACAACATAGAGTTTTAAGACTAAACTTTCTAACTCAAACTCCCGCACACAAGATTTTATTGCACACCGCACATAATTTATATTTACTCATTCACATCAAAACTAAAGCGTGCAAAGGAATATTATTTTGGCCACAAAGTTGATGCTTTAAAATTTATATATTGGCTTTATGCAGCTTTATTATGAATATATTTAATGAATATGATGCAGCAGCGAACGCACCACCATCACCACTACCATCGGCAGCAGTAATAGTGGTAGTCGTTGTAGTTATATTATCGGTCAAATGTGTGTAAAACCCAGAAAAGGAATTTATTAAATGAAAGCATAAACCGAGCGAACGATGAATGAAAGTCTTTTAGCATGGCTTTTTTGGCGCAAAACAGTAAATTGTTGCTTATCCATCGTCTTCTTGTTCTGCTGGTGTTTATGTGGCGTGTTGTCAGCATTGGACTAGGTTGCGAAAAGCAAGCGGAAACATGACTCATACATTAAGTGAACGTCGTTTTTGTGACGCGCAAACATAATGCAAGTAAACAAGTACTTTTGGGATGAATAGAATAGAAGAAAACAACAATATATAAGAGACTAAACAAAAAAAAATTGAATGCCAACTCGATTTTAAATAAACAATGATTTAACAGAAAGTGCGAGGCAAAGTCAGCAGAAGTGACAGAACGACGTGAAGGAGGTGGTGTCGGTGAAAAAGTTAATCATAGCCAAAAACTTCCATGTCGCGCCAGCACTCTTGTGTACAATGCGAATTGGCATGCGGATGAGCGTGCGATTAAATGAAGTGTGAATGGGAATTATAGGCATTATGCCGACAATTGTCACAACAACACGTTCATACGTTTATGCATTATCATCAAAAATGTAAACACCAATAACAGCGATGGTATAAATTGCCAAACGCAACAGTTCGCGGCTGTTCATCATAACAAAAGCCAAGATGATGAAGAAATGACACGACCGAAAGACATCGTACATCATTTATAAATCGTACATCAACCACATTGCTCTTTCTCTCTCTCTCTCTCGCTCACAAATGAACATCTATATGAAACCGAAGTTACTTGCTCTGTCTGCATCTTGTGTTTGCGCGCACATTTAAAATGTGATGAATTTTCATGGGGTTTACAGCGCCGCATTTATCAATGCCCAATTGAATACATTTCAATAATTTACTATTATTTTTGATTGATTTATTCATCAAAGCCATTGAGAATGCTATACAGCAATGTTAAATATGTCATCGAATCACGGCAAAACAAATAATATGACAATGTGAAATGAGAATATGAAAAGTGAACATCGCGATTGCATTCATGAATAAAGTGAATAAGAAATAAATAAATGTTTTGTTATTGTTTAAAGTCGTCGCAAAATATACACAAAACAACAACAACCAACCACAAATAGATAATCAGTCATTGACTTTATCGACATTGTGATTTATTTTGTGTGGCATCAATGTTTATATTTATTAACGACGAAAAATGCTCACATCTTACATCTGTTGCCCCTTTGTTCATGCACCCATTGAACATTGATAAATCGTGACTTGGCAAACGGCTGAATGAACCAGACGAAAAACCTGGTATGTATCGATTGAGAGAGCTATTTAAATGTTGTTCTGTGTTTTTTTCTCGCTGCATATTTAGGTTAATGTGATACGATGTTGTGTGTGATGTGTTTTTGATGCTATTTTTGGCGAAAAGGTCATAAAGCGATCAGAAATCAAAATGTTCAACTCTTTTCAATGTATTACACTGTGAGCACGCATGGGCTAATGACAGGTATTCTACGAATACATTGTGGCGGGCATTCATCTATATCATGACAAGAAGTGACAGAGCTTTTGTAAAGCGATTTCAACAGATTACAAATTGATTGTTCTGCTTTGTTTGACAACTTTACAAAAGAAAAGAAAAGAAAAAATGACGAATTAAGATCTTTTACATTTCGATGGCTTCATACGGCGACCGAGAGAGTTGAAAGAGTGAGCGCACATTCGGTACGATAAATCAGCGTTGACGGTGAGATTCTTCTTGTAATATTCAATTAAGCCAAGTTTAAATGGCAAAAGAAATGATAAATGTTCACAAGTGAACACGGCACGCAGCGACAAAGCACGTAGCAACAACATGAACAGCAACGACAACAAAGTCTCGAAACTTCTTTCTCTTTCACATACACACACATATATTTTCCACAAAACCAATTCCATACAATGGCCTTTGAAAATTACATTTCGAATGAAATTCATTGCAAGCACATAAATTTAAAGTGTACTACATGCGATTGAATCAAGAGTGAATATAAAAGCACAACGCCGACCCGAAATGAAAATCGATAAAAACAAAAATCAAAAACTCTCTCATCCGAATGATAAATATGCGATAAATTTGAATAATAGTTACTTTTTTCTCCATGTTAATTCGATATTAAGAATCAAACTATTTTGAGTTCTGTTGATCGTTTGGTTTGGACGATGTCGATACGCTCATTTAAACCTTAATTGTTTCGTTTTTTCTTTTGCCGCTAATAGCAATCAAACTAGTACCTTAGCAATTGGATGTGTGGAGAGTATGTGGCAAAAAAGCATACCAAATGGTATCATTGAAAAGTTTAAATGGTTACTAATCTCTTGGTTAAAAGACAGAGAAAGAAAAGTGAATACGCGCGCGAGCGTATTATTCATGTGAATGCGTACACACGGTGTGTACTCATGAAGTCACTTTATTCATCTATTTTTGATTGATTCCGGTGTGTTGCGTTTTTCGTGTTCGGCTACATCGGCCACTTCATTTTCGTTGTTTTTATTGTACACGAATTGAGATCATTCATCACACAACCGTCGTTTGTATATTTTTATTTTTCTTGCGCGGGCTTCTTTTGTTTTTAAAATATAATTTATTTTTCATGGCACGTCGATGGCCGTTTAGAACTTACGAAATCATTTGTTTGGCATTCTTATGTGTATGATTTGTGCGTAACTCATCTGTTTATGCCACTCTGCGCTCTCTCTCTCTCTCTCTCTCTCTGCTGGCACCATTCAATACGGAAGATCACATTTGGTTTTCAAATAAAACCGTGTTAATTACATATTCAAATTGAAATTGCACTTAATGGTGCACACGAACGCGTATAATGTAATATTTTTTTTATTTAGTTTTATGTGCAATAAAATGTGTGTTTTGATATACACTTCGAAAGTTTCAGTTTAGTGTCAGTTGGAATTTTTGTTGCAAGAGAGCGAGCAACACACCAAGATAAAGAGATAGAGAGCGTGAGAGAGACAGAGCAAAAGAAAGAGTAAAAAGTACAAGCTCGATCATTAAATGCACAACTCGAATATTTAGAACGATAAAATAGTTAAACGCCATTTCGAAAAAGGTAATGAAACATTTGCCGATGTCAAATATTTAGTATCAGCATATTGCACGATGGCAATAATATTTCGTGGAAATGTGCGCGATGTCGAAACTAAATCAATGTTTTAATTTTAAGTGGCAGCGCTTAAGTGCAAGCTGTTTATTTTTCAATAAAATTTAAAATAAAACGAAAAAAAAACGAGAATATATAATACTTGAAAGTCCGTGTGCCAAGCAAGTTAAGCTCACACGCAAAACTACTTAACTGCAACTTTTCAATGGATTAACGTGGTGATATTCGAGAATTCGTGAATTGAGTTGTGAAACGAAAAGCTTATTACCACTTGTAGAAAAGATAAAAAAAACCAAAGAAGAAGAAACAAAATCGGTTTGACAACAATACATCGTCAAAAAAGTGAGAACGAGAGATAAAAATCGAAGACATTCCCATGCATTTTCACATTCATTACTCAATTTAACGATGAATTTTTTACCATTTAATTGATAAACATTTCCGTTTGAATGTGAATATTCATGTTCATTCGATCAGTGCCACAATCACGGACGCAGAAACCATAAAAAAATGTGCTGTTGCCATTCGATGGAGGAAGGCATTTGCGTGTGTAAAAGGCGATTAATGTGCTTTGTGTCATTATATTTGCCGCCACCACATTGCACATGAATACAACGGCATATTTATGAAATTCTGATTAAAAGTTCGATTCCCATTCAGACTTGAAACATTTGTTATGCGATTTTGTTTTGGCGCTTTGCGGCTCTCGTTTTGCTTTTGTTGGTGGTCCCTCTTGATATGGGGCGCTCAAGTGAGTTTCGGTTCATGCATAATAACAAAAACAACAGCAGAAAATTAAAGACAGTTTGTGTGTGTGTGAGAGAAAGACAAAAGGGAAAAAATTAAAACGGATCGGCTAGTTTGGTTAAGTATATACGTAAAGCTACTTAATGTTTTTCGATGTGGTCTGTGTTTTTGCGCTCATTTCATTCTGTTCGATTGTTCTTGTTCATTCGTAGTTTCGTTTGCTTTGTCGTTGTAGTTTTGTAAAGTATACTATTGTAACACACATACAGAGACAACCACATCGACATTGTATAACACAGTTTGTAAGCGGCATGTCCGCCTCGTAATTTTAGTGGATAAATAAAGTTTTTCTCTCAAATACATAAATATTTATATATAAATACACATATATATTCTGCATTTCATTTGACACTTACCTTACTCAATTTCTCGCCTTCATGGTGTGGCAACAGTGATCGTAAGCTTTGAAAGCCAGCATTGATGCTCTGCATTCGTCGTCTTTCATTGCTGTTTGCAATTTCGCGTCTCATACGCTTTTCGTTTTCCATGGCTGCTGTGTGGCCTCCACCACCCTCTTCCTCTCTGTGTAAACTGTAATTCGTCGAAAAGAAAGAGAGAGAAAAAAAACCGAAACATTATTATGATTTATTGTTTGGAATGTCGTTAGGCACACAAGTTCATAAATAGTTTGTTCTGTCAATTAAGTAATCCTATTAAATATTTCTACTTAATGTTCTCTCGCTCTCATTCGTGTTCTAGTTCGCATCGTTTCCGATTACGTGCAAACATTACTACGGGCGCTTATTAAATTTCAACAAATTTCCACAAAACGATTATTACCGAACCGAAATAAATAATGGATTTGTACGGTTGTGACAAGATATGATTTTATAATTTCACTGTCCGAACCAGTGCTGTCCCGAATTCGAATTCGGTGCACCGAAATATTACAGTAGCACCGAAAGGAGTTAACCAACAACCATCGTATTGTAATTGTAATTAAATTTGTGACGCATGGAAGTCGAATTCCACCGATGACTATCTGCATTCTATTCCGCCATTGAAACTATATTCATTAGAAGAAGAAACACTTTTCGATGGATACATTGTATACAGGGCCCCGCAATTCGTTTCGCATTTTCGTGCGACTGACGCGAATAATTTATGGATTTGTTTTTTTTTTTGATAATTTATTAAGATGAACTTTCCCTTGGCCAAACACACTAGCGCTCACCCACCCATACAATGTATTCTGCCCCACAAAAGTCAACGTCCGATACACGAAACATTTCTGATATGTTTACATACACACAGCAGTTCTGTGTGCCAAAAGTAAATAGCCTTTAAATTAAACAATAACACAACCGCACAAGAAACTCGTTAATGACATCAGTTTATAAATTCCATGGAACATGGCACAGAAACAGTCAGCTCAACATAATATTCCACAAAACCCAAAACCTAATAGAAAAATAATGTCGATGGTATTTTTGGCTACGGCCCAGCATTGAATAAAGAATAGAAACAAAAAACAATCACATGCCTCTTCCATCCACTTACACCACATACACAAACACATACATAAACTATCACACAAACATATTCTCTGTTGACTTATCTTACAGATAGATCAAACTTACATCATTAATTTACAACCAAAATCGAAAATGAATTATGGCTTTCGAATTCAATTTGTATGTTATGTTTGTGGTTGTCTTGTGCTTAGTCGTTGGGCCAAATGATAAAATGTACGCGCAGCAAATTACACTGACAAACTGAGTTTATGGTGCACGATAGTCAGCACAAAAAACACACACAAACAGAGATAAAACAACACAGTCAATTCGATGGTTTGGGGGGTTTTTGCGATTTTTTTGCCGTTGTTGTTGTTGTTTTTGTTTTGTTTTTTTTTTTTTGGAGACAGCTGGTTCACGCGGTTGCTTTATATTATTACTATCTTTGAGCAATTCAACTATGTGTTCGCTAAGTGATCACAAAGATGCCATCCACCGAATCTGCAGCAATAAAATCATTTATTTCTTTCACTTTATTTTCACCATTTATATTCGAGAGTGGTTTTTGTAAGCTGTTGCTGTTGCAACGAGAAATAGAAGAAAATGTTCAAAGCGGTTGCGGTTTTTGGAGTCAAGAAAAATAGCAACAACAAAAAAGTCTTTCGAAGAAATTTAATGGCCGTCTCACCAAACAGTTGGTATCATTTTATTACAATGTGACACATACACGAAAAAAAAGATGAAATTATCGTTTGTCGTAAAATTGTTTTGTTTTTTTTTTTCGTTGTCGTCGCTTTCTTTTCTCTATATAACTCGACAAATGCTATCATACGCACTAACTAATGAATCAGTTGTACAGTGGATTCATTGTGTAGATAGTTTTTTTTTTGTTTCGACTTTTTCTCTCTGAGACTGATCGCATAATAAGTCTTAACTTCTTGAACTTTAAAATAGCGCAGCATATGAAACCAACATCCAAACAAAACCGAGCGAAAACAAATGCACACACTAATTGTACTAATTGAAAATAGTAAAAAGTCTGTCGAGAAAAAAAAAGAACCACGAACAAAAAATCCGAATGAACACACAACCGAACGAAAATCGCTGGCTGCGAAAAAGCAGTGTGTTTTGAAACTTCACAAAATTTGTTCTCACTAATGAAGCTGCTCGTTCACGGAATTAAAATGATGCAAACTTCTTTTTCAAACTTGAGAGTTAAATTTATTTCACCGAAAATATATTATTTTATATACTATGTACTAACTAGCAAATTTCCAAATGTTTTGTATCGCTACAAATTTTTTTTTTCGTCGAAATTGTGATACCACAAATGAGCTTATCGCTTGCGCGAATTTCGTGAATGGATTTCTTTTTTCTCTTTTTTTGCTCCTTTCAATTCACCAATTTAACGAAGTGTTGTCGTAATTCACGACTCAATGCAAACGAACGATGATAGTGAACTGAATTTTGTTGAGAGTGAAAAATAAAATGAACAAAGAGTGAGAGAAGCGAGCGCGCGATTACCGTTTTCAACGAACTTGTGACAAAAACTAATTGGCAGTGCATGAAAATGAAAACAGTTTCAAAAATTCATCGGTAAAACCAAGTTTGCCAGATGATGACGACAACGACCGCGACGACAGCGACAACAACATCAACAGCATATGGGCTGTAATAATATACGCGAGCAAGTGGAACACAATATGCGATGTTCATAGTATCGAATTATCAGTGTTTGTACGATAAAATGGCATATATATGCATGTACATGTGGAAGTTATGACGTAAAATGTTGTTTTTCGGTGTATGTGTGGAACATTTGCTTGGGCTCGATGAGAGTTTGCAATGACATGAAGCACAAAGCGATGAATTCAATATTCTATATTTGAGTACGATATAAATAAAATGAGGGAAAAAAATAACCCAAGTGACACACACACACACAAACACTAACAACCAGAGAGCGAGAGAGACAGAGAGTGGAAAGAAGAACGGAACCAAAAGCAAGAAAGGCAAAAACACATAAAGGCCAAAAATAAAATAAACACACGCAAATACATATGCTGCTGGCAATATTTGAATATATGAATAGAATGCGCGCGAGGCGCTCCATGTATAGTAAATATATAGTTATTCTGTCGTTCATGCAATCGAAAATGCGATAATATTTGCATCCGAGTGGGTTGAAGTGCTCTTGTTGCGATATGGTTTTAGCTAGGCGATTGAATGCTCATTATTTTTTGCTCACAAAATGATCGTAAAATGAAATCAACGAGAGGAAGAAAAAAAAACACACACCACCACCACCACCAGCACCAATGCTACAAGAGTTGTGAGAACCAAACGACCGAACATTTTCAATCAATTTTAACATGTGCGCCACTGAATATGGCTTGGTCAATTTGCAGCGTAAACATTACGATCACACGACATGAATCATGAACTATTTTTGTATTGCATCAAACATAACTGTGTCATAGTCCGACCAACAATTTAAGTTGAAACAATGAACGGAAAAAAGGAACGCGAGAAACAAAATATTACGAATTATGAACAACACACGACAAATAAACGAAATAGAGAGAACAAGAAAAATAAAATAGAGTTGGCTATTGAACCAAAGTCGAAACATTTGTCGCGCTACATGCATCCAAACGCATAAATGAAACGTGTGCAAACGACTTTGTATGTTTAAAATAAACAATGATTAACATTTGGTCGATGTGCATGGTAAACTTGAATACGATCAAGCACGTTTTATGCATCATCGTCATGTGGTCAATTCTGAGCCAATACACACGCCAACGTCTAATTATTCAATTCCACAAACAAAAACGAAAAATTCGACAACACACACACACACACACCGTGCCCCGCACATTGGATTCGAATAACACTTCTCGCGGCATCGTTCTACAAACCATCTTTGTTCGGTTTTACGCGTTCATTTAAAATGATGCATCGTTAAAAATAGATGCATATTGTTGTGATGAATAAATGGCTATAAGAGCTCATGTGCATTGTTATGTTTAAGTTAAGGAAAACCGCTAACGATATTCAGTAAACTTACAATGTTAGTGGCGTTGCCAGGGCGTGATATTATGCTCGGTTAAGTAATCTTTTTAATGAGGAAAGTGTAGAGACATTTAACGCTTTTCTTCTCTAATGACACTCAATTCAACGCAGGCACACACACACATCTGGAATTGAAATGACGCACATATACCTTTTGACGACCACTTCGTCTTCGGATGTGTGTTGCATATATGAAATAACGATGTGTCATTTTTCCAATGTACTATATAATTTTCGGTCCTTTTTTTTTCTTCTGTCGGTCGCCGTCTATTGTAACAAACAAGCTTTTGTGTGATTGATTACAATGACAACAAGTACACGTGACCATCGTTGATTGCATTAGGATACATTAATTTTTCATTCGACACATTTGAACCACATTGTATAATTTGTACGCAAGACGTGAACGAAGACACAAATACAAAAAAAAAAACAGAAGTTGTGATGAAGTCGACAATGTGACAATCCTCATGATAAATATGCCATCTCATCGTGCGTTCGGCCATAAAACAAAGTAAACGAACATAGAAAATAAAAACAACAAAAACAACCGAAAAAAAATACTACAAGAAAAGACATAAAGTGTTGTTTTCTTTTTTTCTGTAGTTTTTTTTGCTGTCGTTGTTAAAATGTCGCGTTCGGACGCAATGGGCAAAGGTAAAGAGGAAAGCAATTAACATGGATTTATCACCTTGTTTACAGGCATTTCAATTAAACTCAATAAAAAGTACATTTATTTTATTCGCTTAAAATTCTAAATTGATCAAATGAAATGAAACACTTTCTGAAGAAGAAGAAGAAGGAAAAAAAGCACCGAAGAAAAAAGAGCCCGACCAAGACACTGAGCTGATTCATTTCGAAGGCAATGCACAACAATTGCGGGACAGAACATAAATTACAGTGAAAGAAATAAAATGGAATTAATCGGAATTACTGAGCGACCGAGACTGAATTTACGGAGAGAGAGAGAGAGAGAGAGAGAGGGAGCGAGAGAGAAGAGGA